ATCCGGGATAGCGATGGTCTCGAGCATCCTGGGTAATTGGTTCTCTACTGCACTCTTAATAACATACTATCACAACTAACATAAGGGACAGAATGTATTTATACTGGATATTTACACCAAGTTGGTTGGGAAGCACTGCTTTAAATCATTTTTCTGAGGAATTATCTCTCAAATAAAGAGCTTTAAAATGTGTCAAAAATATGATGAAGTGTTGCTAGAACTTTCTTTAACTAGAATGATATACTAATTTTTCTTTCTGTAGGTTGTTTTGCTTGATGATGTTACAACAGATGAAACTTTAACTGCAATCATTTGCTTGCTATCAATGGTTGTAAGAAAGTAAGTCTTAATTTATAATTAAGAAAAGAATTCAAAATATTAATGCAAAAAAATTAATAAAAAATAAATTAATTTATAAATGTTATGTTACACTACATGAAATGTCAATATCCAATTATTTCAAAAGGTCAATAAATGATCTTCATTAGAATGAACTAACTAAAAAAAAATGAGGCCCATATTACGGATATGTTGGTTGATTAATTAATTATTTAGTTTATTAATAATGACATGATAAAATAAAGTTTTCAGGAAGAAATTTAATTTTTCATGTCATAATTTTTCTTATTTTTTAAAAATATTTTCTGATTTTTTTATCCATATATTCTGTAGACATTGAAAAATGGCTACATTATTTAAAAACTTCTGTCATGCTCTTTTCAAAATGTATAAAAACTAATCAAAATCATTTTAAATACATAGATTTATAAAAATTAAGATCAAGTGCTGGCAATTTATATATTTTAATATGGTTTATTAAGGGGTTACTCACTAAGTAATTTGTCTAGAGCTATAAATTTTTGTCAATTAAATTGATGTTTTTATGGTCAGTTTTGTCTTATATGTTTTAAATATATATGTTAGTAGTGTTATGTAGTATTTCAATCTTCTTAAAGTTAAGCCTTTTGTTGTTAATATTATATTATCTTAAAATAATTTTACCATTTTTTAAAGACTATTTCTTTCCGACTTGATTTATTAGTCATATGTCATTTAAAATATGCCATTTAAAAATATTGTTAGTTAATTGAATTTGCAGACCAAATAGTATTTTTAATTATTTTGAAGCAGGCTCTTTTAATTTTGTATTTTACATGCCCATATTTGAAAGTAGGAACTTCCTTTTCATTTATGAATGTTAATTGAAGGTAAGTTTAATTTTATTTTGGTTAATAAAAAATCATTAGGATTGTAGTAGCTTAGAGAGATAGTAAGACAAATTATAACTTTTTATGTATGTGTGGTGTTAGTATTTATTCTTATTTACATTAATGTTATAATTTTTTTTTTTTTTTTTTTTTTTTTTTTTTTTTTTTTTTTTTTTTTTNTTTTTTTTTTTTTTGTAGAATGAATAATTCAACTTTACTAAAGCTTCAACAATTAAATGTTCATGAAACATTTACAAAACTGTTAATCAAGTACATGAATTCAGACCACTGTGCTTTATTGAGAAATGTAAGTCATAATTCTACTTGAAGTCCTCTGAGTATTTTGTTTTTTGTTGTAGATTTTACAATAATCCAAATTTTTTAACGTTTGTGTTATAGTTATTGAGCATAATGTATGGCTTTTTGAAAACAAGAACTGTATGGCCTGAAAAATGTGAAGAGGTTAGAGTTATTCTTGAGTTTGTTACTCATCATAAACCTAAGGTATATAATGTCTTTTCTGATTGCTCTTTATATATTTAATTTTTTATTTTATTTTAATGCTTCCGGTTTTTTTAAAAAATTTTTTGAGTAGCTTCTAATTATGACCTAGTTGTTAAAGTTTGATCATGATGCTTACTTGTCCTATATTTATTATTTTTTTTAATATCAATTGCTAACAGTTTTATTATAAGAAAGTAACAGTTTTCAGAAATGTTATTTTCTGTATTTCTTGACAAACTATATAATTTTATTGACTTGCATAAATTATTTACTTATTTTTTAATATTTATAATATATTTCCTATTTATTCATGTCAGTTTTATTGAGACAGTATAGTAATATAATGAACATATTTTTATGACTGTGTAGTAATAATTTGAATATATTATGTAAAGTGAAACCTCTAGATTTTTGTTAAAAAAAAATAATGTGCAGTCATTTTGAGATTGCTAAATATGGGACTTAAGAAAGTTGGAAAAATTATTGGTTTGATAAATAAACTAAAAGGCAACAACTTGACACCTATGGTTTTGTTTGATACCCTGATAGCAGAATTAATGTGGCATGGTAGCTGGTGCTAAAGATTTTTTACCTTGTAGCCAAAAAAA